AAACATTAAGCTGGGGTGGTGGCGGCTCGCCTGTAATCCCAGACTTGGGAGGCTGAGACGTGAGAATCACTTGTATGTGGAGGTGGAGGTTGCAGTGAGCTGAGATGTGCAACGAGCATGGGGACAGGAGGTTTCTGTCTCAAAAGGAGAAAAAAGAGAAAGAAGCTAAAGTTTGGAGTAAGGATGAGATGCTCAAATTTGATTTGGGAAGGTTGTCCCCCCAGGCAATAGAATGGATTGGAATAAGATGAGAATTATTAACTAATAGATCAGTCTAGGAAAGAGATGATGAAGACTTTACTAGAAGAATAGGAGTGGAAAGGGACAGTTTTCAGTCATTTGCTGGTAGAATTTGAGCTATGAGGAAAAGGAAGAAGTTGTAGAAATTTCAAGATTTAAATGAGAAGTGTGGAATTTTAGGGAACATGTTGGAGTCAGAGAGACTGTTCGAATGAAGGGGCCACAACTCAAAGAGGGAAGACAGAAATTTTGGAGTTTAGATTTTTTTTTCTTTTTTTCTTTTTTTTTGAGATGGAGTCTTGCTCTGTTGCCCAGGCTGGAGTGTGGTGGTGCGATCTCAGCTCAGTACAACCTCTGCCTCCCAGGTTCAAGTGATTCTCCAGCCTCAGCCTCCCGAGTAGCTGGGATTACAGGCATGTTTTACCATGCCCGGCTAATTTTTTTTTTTTTTTTTTTTTTTTTTTTTTTTTTGAGACGGAGTTTCGCTCTTGTTGCCCACGCTGGAATGCAATGGTGCGATCTCGGCTCATGGCAACCTCTGTCTCCCAGGTTCAAAAGATTCTCTTGCCTCAGTCTCCCTAGTAGCTGGGATTATAAGCAGATGCCACGACGCCCAGCTAATTTTAGTATTTTTAGTAGAGATGGGGTTTCACCATGTTGGTCAAAGCTAGTTTCGAACTCCTGACCTCAGGTGATCCACCGGCCTCAGCCTCTCAAAGGGCTGGGATTACAGGCGTGAGCCACTGCACCCAGCCCAGAGATTAGATTTTAATGAGCACTGTGTTAGAGTCATCTAGTGTGAGGTTACAGTCACAGTCTCCATGTAAGGAAATCATGTGGGCAATTGGATATAACATGTAAGGTTAAGGAACGAGCTTATGGGTAGTATTCTAGTCTGTTTGGCTGCTATAGCAAAATACCTTAGACTGGCTAATTTATAAACAACAGAATTTATCATTTATAGTTCTGGAGAATGGGAAGTCCAAGATCAGGGTGCGGGCAGATTGCGTGTCTGGTGAGGGCGCTGTGCTTCATAGGTGGCACCTTTTTGTTGTGTCCTCACATGGCAGAAGGAAGGGGCAAGAGGGTAACATTCCCTCAGCCTCTTTTATAAGGACTAATCCCATTTATGAAGGCTCCACCCTCATGACCTAATCACTTCTCAAAAGCCCCACCTATTTTTAAGAGATGGAGTCTTGCTGTATTGCCCAGGCTGAAATGTAATGGCTTTTCGCAGGTGCAGTTATAGCACATTGCAGCCTCAAACTCCTGGCATCAAATGATCCTCCCACCTCAGCCTCCCAAGTAGCTGGGACTCCAGGCACGAGCCACTGCACCTGGCTCAGGCCCACCTCTTCTTAATTATTATTACCTTGGGAGTTAAGCTTCAAGATACGGGCCAGTCGTGGTGACGCATGCCTGTAATCCCAGCACTTTGGGAGGCCGAGGTGGTTGGATCACCCTGAGGTCAGGAGTTCAGGACCACTCTGGCCAACACAGTGAAATCCTGTTTCTACTAAAAATAGTCGAGCATGATGGTACATGCTTGTGGTCCCAGCTCCTCGGGAGGCTGAGGCAGGAGAATACCTTGAACCCGGGAGGCAGAGGTTACAGTGAGCCTAGATCACGCCACTGTACTTCAGCTTGGATGACAGAGGGAGACAGTGTCTCAAAAAAAATTTTTTTTTAGCATATGAATTTTAGGGGGACACATACATTCAGACCATAGCAGGTAGTGATAGAGAGTTGTGAGTCATTTACGTAAAGGAGGGCATTGAAGCAATGGAAGTACACGGGAATTAGATGGGTTGCTCCTTTATGGAGCACCCTGATGCAGCAAGTGCTAGGAGTCAAAGAGTTAGCTGCTGCTTGTTGGTTTTGCCCTTGGATAACCATTCATGTTGTTCAAAGTCATCTTTTTTGTGTCCCTTGTGCTATAAATTGCTGACCCCAAAAGCCAGAGAAGAGACACTTGGATGAGTGCAGAGTTCCAAATGTGTAGGATATGTATTCAGAGTTATTGTGGAATCGTACAGTAGTATATTGTGCCCCAATAAATTTTACATGTTTAAAGGAATTCCCGAGCCAAAATTTTAGTTGTCTATTAAAATTTTATACAGCAGTGTTTGACAAAATATGGTGAGAGGGCTGCTTGCAACAGAATTATCAGATATGCTCATAAAATGTGAAATATCTAGGCCTTCTTGTTGACCAACTGAACCTGAATCTTTGAGAGTGAGTCCTGAATATCTATATTATTACCAAACTCCTTTTTATGCCCTAAAATTTGAAAATCATTGATGTACATGATGCAATTGCCACTTATATATTAAGATTAAAAACTAGGATCCTTTTGAGATTGCCATTTAAATATCAAAGAAAAAGGAGGTACTGCTTTCCTTTTGTAACCTTAAAAAATGTTAAATTACCTTTCTTTCAGTTGAGTGTGCGAGGAAAAAATAAAAAAGAGAAACTTGAAGATTTCTTTAAAAACATGGTTAAATCAGCAGACGGAGTAATCGTTTCGGGAGTAAAGGTAAGATTTTACTTGATTAACTGTGGTATTGAGACTTCTTTTAAAAGGGAGATAGATTGAGATTTCAAATGTGCAGAATTAGAGTAAAAGACATTTGTACGGTTAGAATCTTTAGTCCTAGGAACAGGAGGAATCCCCTTGACCTGGATTCCTCTCCTTAGAGCGTTCCCTTCTACAATGGATGAGAAGCCTTAAGCTAAGGGAATTTGCCCGACTGCAGCCCACAGCCCTTCCTTCACATCAGACCAGGTTACAGGTTTCTAGAATCCCCTATTTCCCTACCCAAATCCCAAGCCTTGCAGTTCCTACGTGGGCAACGTCCCTGAGTTCATGCCATTCATGTGTATTCCATGAGTGGTTAAGGGGCGATCATGGGGCAGGTGGGTGGAGGGGAGGGACAGTGTGCAATTTGGAATGTCCACCCACATGCACATGAAGTCCTCCTAGATGCAGGACAGACAGAGCTGCAGAGCATACCAAGAGATGCTGCCTCTGTTTTTACATTTAACGTTTAGCCTTGGAAATGTTAGGGGCAGACCTAAGTTCAGCTTAGAGTTAGAAGATCTCTGTTGAGGCCGAGCACGGTGGCCCACGCCTGTAATCCCAGCACTTTGGGAGGCCAAGGTGGGTGGATCATTTGAGATCAGGAGTTCAAGACCAGCCTGGAGGTCTCGGGAGGCTGAGGAACCTAGGAGGCGGAGGTTGCGGTGAGCTGAGATTTTGCCACTGCACTCTAGCCTGGGCGACAGAGTGAGACACCCTGTCCCAAAAAAAAAACAAAAAAAAAGATCTCAGTTGGCGTTTTGGTGTTGCTTCAAGCTACACGTCCTTGGGAAAAGTTACTTTCTTTTATTTTTCTGGATCTCGGTTTTCCCATTTTCTCTCTTTTTTCTTTTTTTTCCCCAAGATAGAGTCTTGCTCTGTCGCCCAGGCTGGAGTGCAGTGGCATAATCTCGGCTCACTGCAACCTCTGCCTCCCAGGTTCAAGCAGTTCTCCTGCCTCAGCCTCCTGAGTAGCTGGAATTACAGGCACCCGCCACCATGCCCGGCTAATTTTTGTATTTTTAGTGGAGACGGGGTTTCACCATGTTGGCCAGGCTGGTCTCAAAGTCTTGACCTCGTGATCTGCCTGCCTTGGCCTCCCAAAGTGCTAGGATGTTACAGGTGTGAACCACTGTGCCCTGGCAGATTTTCCATTTTCAAAATGGGGTTAATAATACTACCCACCTTACTGACTTAATAAAAAGATTGAGATAATATGTGTGGAAAACACCTATTTTTTTTTTCTTCCTTTTTTTTTTCTTTTTTTTTTTTTTGAGACGGAGTCTTGCTCTCTTGCCCAGGCTGTAGTGCAGTGGCATGATCTCGGCTCACTGCAAATTCCGCCTCCCAGGTTCACACCATTCCCCTGCCTCAGCCTCCCAAGTAGCTGGGACTACAGGCGCCCGCCTCCACACCCAGCTAATTTTTTTGTTTTTTTAGTAGAGATAGGGTTTCACTGTGTTGGCCAGGATGGTCTCGATCTCCTCACCTCGTGATCTGCCTGCCTTGGCCTCCCAAAGTGCTGGGATTACAGGCGTGAGCCACCGCGCCCGGCCGAAAACACCTGTATTTTTCTTAATGATGTTCTAAAAATGGTACAAGAGTTGATTTATCTGAAGATTCTTACCATTAAAATATGAGAACAATGTTTCTATTATCAAGCAAATACTAGGAAGAAAAGAATGCTGCTTTGTCATCATTGCCTGTTTTTATAGACATAATAAAATTGGTGTGTAGAGTACTATTTGATTTATACTCTGATTTTTCAGAGACAGGTCAGTGGATACTTGACAGTGCATGTGCTATGGCTGCTTTCCAATAAGGACTCAGCTTACTTCCATTTGATGCTGCTTATGCATTAATATCAACCATTTTTCTTAGCCATTAAATGTAAACCACTATGTTGATTATAATTTTGATAATTTTATTAATAGAGTAATAACATTTTTGAACACTTCACAATGGTGCCTTGGATTGGTAGCCCACATTTTTCTTGAGGTAATTTCACAACACCCTGCCAGTTTTCATCCAGATTTCTTACAGTTAAGAAAACTGGCCTGGCGCGGTGGCTCACGCCTGTAATCCTAGCACTCTTGGGAGGCCAAGGCGGGCGGATCACCTGAAGTTGGGAGTTTTGAGACCAGCTGGCCAACATGGAGAAACCCTGTCTCTGCGAAAAATACAAAATTAGCCAGGCATGGTGGCTCATGCCTGTAATCCCAGCTACTTGGGAGGCTTTTGAGGTAGGAGAATCGCCTGAACCCCAGAGGCAGAGGTTGCAGTTAGCCAAGATTGTGCCATTGCACTCCAGCCTGGGCGAAAGAGAAAAAGAGAACTGTTACATATGAATTATGAATTTTATTTTAATATTTATTTTTTATTTTATTTTGTGTTTTGAGACAGGGTCTTGCTCGGTTGCCTTAGGCTGCTGTGCAGCCCCAATCTCGGCTCACTGCAACCTCTGCCTCCCAGGCTCAAACGATCCTCCCACTTCAGCCTCCCAAGTAGCTGGAACTATAGGTGCATGCCACCGCACCCAGCTAATTTTTGTATTTTTTGTAGAGACAGTTTCTCCATGTTGCCCAGGCTGAACTCCTGGGCTCAGGTGATCTGCCCACCTTGGCCTCCCCAAAGTGCTGGGATTACAGGTGTGAGCCACTGTATCCAGCTGAATTACAGTTTTCAATGACATTTTGTCAGTACTGACTCTTGCTGCTTGTGTTCTGTTGATACTGGTCTCCAATTATATCCTGTCAGCTGATGCTTTTTCACTTAATTATTGGTAATTTTCAAGGGGGTAAAATACTATTAATTTCATTTTTGTGCCAGGTGCAGTGGCTCACTCCTATAATCCTAACATTTTGGGAGGCTAAGGCAGGTGGATCACTTTAACTCAGGAGTTTAAGACCAGCCTGGGCAACATGACAAAACCCTGTCTCTACAAAAAATACAAAAATTGTCTTGGCGTCGTGGCATGCACCTGTAGTCCCAGCTACTTGGGATGCTAAGTCAGGAGGATTGCTTGAGCCAGGGAGGTTGAGGCTGCAGTGAGCCATGTTTGCACCACTGTAGTCCAGCCTGGATTACAAAGCAAGACTCTGTCTGAAGATAATAATAATAATTTTTATTTTTAATGTATAGCTAGCTTTGTTTCAAAAAAAAAGATTGAAGACAGTGGTTAATCGTATTATTGCCCTCAGATAGTTTGGCCAGGGTCCTCAGTGCAGTAAGAAAGGGCCTTAATGACTAAGGCTAGGCAGCCTTCAGGAGTGGCCAGCAGAATACGTAACAGGCCAAGAAAAATAGATTTTCACTCTGTCCACCAGAATTGTTTTCTTTTTCCTTAAAAACAATTGATCACTTCTGCTGGCAATAGTATGTTTACTGAAGAGGCAGAATTGTAGAGGCAGATCACAAATAAGTACATCATGTGAGGCCAAGCGCGGTGGCTCATGCCTGTAATTCCAGCACTTTAGCACTTTGGGAGGCCGAGGCGGGCAGATCACTTGAGGTCAGAAACTTGAGACCAGCCTGGCCAACATGGCGAAATTCTGTCTCTACTGAAAAATACAAAAATTAGGCTGGGCGTGGTGGCTTACATCTGTAATTCCAGCACTTTGGGAGGCCAAGGCGGGTGGATCACGAGGTCAGGTGTTCGAGACCAGCGTGACCAACATGGTGAAACCCCGTCTCTACTAAAAATACAAAAAAAAATTAGCTGGACGTGGTGGCGTGCGCCCGTAGTCTCAGCTACTCAGGAGGCTGGGGCAGGAGAATCGCTTGAACCGAGGAGGCGGAGGTTGCAGTGAGCCGAGATCGCGCCACTGTGCTCCAGCCTGGTGACAGAGCGAGACTCCGCCTAAAAAAAAAAAAAAATTAGCTGGGTGTAGTGGTGTGCACCTGTAGTCCCAAGCTATTGGTACACCGAGGCAGGAGAATCGCTTGAACCCGGCAGGCAGAGGTTGCAGTGAACCAAGATCATGCCACGGCACTCCAGCCTAGGCAACAGAGTGAGACTCCATCTCAAAAAAAGAAGAAAGAATGTGAACTTGGACCTATTTGGGGAGCACATACAGCATGTGAACTTGGACCTATCTGGGGAGCCTTCAGTTACAAAATCATAGAAGATTTCTTACTTGATTGATAGAAACGCATGTCTATTAAAGTCTTGCTGGTGAAATTAGTACAGTAACATCTGACTATTAGAGGATAGCTGTGCTATTTTACTGATAATCTTTTATATTTATAAAGTTATTTACATATTAAACTAAAGCAAATAAGTGAAAAAAGTTTGTATTTTCTTTTGATCTTATAGGATGTAGATGATTTCTTTGAGCATGAACGAACATTTCTTTTGGAATATCATAACCGAGTTAAGGATGCATCTGCTAAATCTGATAGAATGACAAGATCCCACAAAAGTAAGATGTTTCTGTGGCTAAAGCTTATATCTTTTAATGGAATAATTATAAAGTTCATATTATAGTTTGAAAAAGTCTTAATATAGAGCAGTAGTTCTCAAACTGTGATCTGTTGGTGTCTAGGCTCCCTGGCTCTTTTATAGTGAGCCTGTGAGGTCAAAACTATTTTCAGCTGTGCACAGTGGCTCACGCCTGTAATTACAACACTTTTGGAGGCTGAAGCGGGAAGATCACTTGAGCTCAGGAATTCAAGACCAGCCTGAGCAACAGAGTAAGACCCTGTTTGTATTGCACCAGCCTAATACAAAAAATAAAATTAGCCAGACGTGGTGGTCCATGGCTGTGGTCCCAGCTACTAGGAAAGCTAAGATGGGAGGATGCCTTGGGCCTGGGAGGTCGAGGCTGCAGTGAGCTGTGGTCGATCGTACCACCACACTGCAGTCGGGGTGACAGAGTGAGACTGTCTAGACAACAAAATAATAACTATTTTTATAATGATACTGTGATAGTTTTTGCCTTTTTCACCATGTTGACGTTTACACCAATGATGGATAAAGCTGCTGCTGCATAATTACATACAAATCGAGGCAGTGGCAACAAACTGGACTAGTAGTCTCTATATTCTTTCCTGCCATGCACTAGCTTTTTTTTTTTTTTTTTGAGACGGAGTCTCTTATCACCTAGGCTGGAGTGCAGTGGCGCGATCTCAGCGCACTGCAACAACCTCTGCCTCCCAGGTTCAAGCAATTCTTCTGCCTCAGTCTCCCAAGTAGGGGGGATTACAGGCGCCTGCCACCACGCCAGGTTAATTTTTGTATTTTTGGTAGAGATGGGGTTTCACCATCTTGGCCAGGATGGTCTTGAACTCCTGACCTCATGATCTACCTGCCTTGGCCTCCCAAAGTGCTGGGATTACAGGTGTGAGCCACTGCACCCAGCCACTTACAATTTTTTAAAAATGTGACTTTCACTTAAGAATGCCCTTAATGAAACAGTAAAAATTGATTGTAATCTCTACCCTTGAGTATACATTTTTAAATATTCTGAGTGATGAAATAGGAGGTATGCATAAAGCACTTTGGCTACATACTCAAGTATGATGGTTCTGTAGAAAAGCATTTTAGTGATTGAGTTGTGATTGAACTAGCTAATTTTTTCATAGAACACTACTTTTACTTTAAAGAATGACTGATAGACAAACTATGTTTATGAATATTTGGCAAATGTTTTCTCAAAAATCAGGTAATTATTTAAATTGGAGGAACCTGGCCAAAAAAAATCAGTTATTTCAAGAAAAACAAAGATAGTATTTGTTGCCAATGAAAAGTCAAACTTCAAGCGATAATTAGAATTTTGGAAAACTTTCTATCTCTCACCATGAGCTTACTTCCCAATAGATACTGGACTAGTAGTCTCTATATTCTTTCCTGCCATACACTTGCAATTTTTTTTTTTTTTTTTTTTGAGACGGAGTCTCTGTTGCCCAGGCTGGAGTGCAGTGGTGCGATCTCGGCTCACTGCAACCTCTGCCGCCCAGGTTCAAGCAGTTCTCCTGCCTCGGCCTCCCAAGTAGCTGAGATTACAGGCGCCTGCCACTGTGCCCAGCTAGATGGGCCAATGAAGACCTATATAGAGATTGATAATGTTACTTGTGAATGTGATTTTTAAAAAAATTGTACATTTAAGTGTGTCACCACTTAGAACATCTGCATAATTCATTGGACCAATGTTTTCTAAACGGCCAAGTACATAATGCTACAAAATCATATATGTAAAAGAACCACTCAAAGTGCAAAATAGACCAATGAGGTTTTTTTTAACAGCTGTGTTGAGTGTAATTGATATCAGTAAGCTGCAGTAGTCAAAATGTACAGTTTGGTAAGTTTTGACATGTGTGAAATCCTTACCACAATCAAAATAATGAACACACACATCACCCCCAAAAGTTTCTTGTGGCCCTTTGAAATCTCTCCCTCCCGCCCTATTCCCAGATAGCCACTGGTCTGCTTTTTGTCACTGTAGATTAGTTTGTATTTTCTAGTATTTTATATAAATTGAATCATACAGTATGTATTCTTTATTGTTTAGCTTTGAAACTCAAAAAACTATTTTGAGATTCATCCAAGTTGTTGTGTACATCGATAGTTCATTTCTTTTTGTTGCTAAGTAGTGTTCCATTGAATGGATATACAAAAATTATTTGTTTCTAGCTTTGACTATTACAGATACAATTTATATGAGCCATTTGTATATAACTCTTTATGTGGACATCCTTTCTTTCTCTTGGGTAATACCTAGAAGTAGAATGCCTGAGTCATGTGGTAAATGAATATTTAACTTTAAGAAACTACCACATTTTTTTCCCACAATGATTGTACCATTTTGCATTCCTATGAGCAGGGCATGAGAGTTCCAGTTGCCCCACATCTTTGCCAACAAGGATAGTCAGTCTTTTTATTTTTCCCAGTGGAATTTGAAGTCTTTTTTAACTTTATTCAAATAGGTCAGTGGTGGTAACTCAATGTGGTTTAGATTTGTATTGTCCTAATGACTGTTGAGGTTCAACATCTTTTCTTTTTCTTGTGTCCTTCCTTCAGCTTTACTCTTTCTTTTTTTTTTTTTTGAGACGAAGTCTTGCTCTGTCACCCAGGCTACTGGAGTGCAGTGGCGCAATCTCGGCTCACTGCAAACTCCACCTCCCAGGTTTATGCCATTCTCCTGCCTCAGCCTTCCCGAGTAGCTGGGACTACAGGCGCCCACCACCACACCTGGCTAATTTTTTGTATTTTTAATAGAGACAGGGTTTCAGCGTGTTAGCCAGGATGGTCTCGATCTCCTGACCTTGTATTCTGCCCGCCTCAGCCTCCCAGAGTGCTGGGATTACAGGCATGAGCCACCATGCCCAGCCCCAGCTTTATTGTTTTTTGTTTTTTGTATTTTGTTTTTTTTTGAGACAGGGTCTTGCTCTGTCACCCAGGATCAGTGTATTGGTGCAAACATGGCTCACTGCAGCCTCAATCGATCCTTCCACTTCAGCCTACCGAGTAACTGGGACCACAGGCATTCGCCACCATGCCTGGCTAATTTTTGTTGTTGTTGAGGGGGTAGAGACAGGGTCTTGCTACGTTGCTCGGGTTGGTCTTAAACTCCTGGACTCAAGCAGTCCTCTCACCTTGGCCTCCCAAAGGGCTGGAATTACAGGCATGAGCCACCAGACTGCTTTTTTTTTTTTCTCCCTAGACGGAGTCTCACTCTGTCATCCAGGATGGAGTGCAGTGGCACAGTCTCAGCTCACTGCCACCCCTGTCTCCTGGGTTCAAGTGATTCTCATGCCTCGACCTCCCCAGTAGCTGGGATTACAGGTGTGCACTACAATGCCTGGCTAGATGTTTGTATTTTTATTAGAGATGGGGTTTTGTCCATATTGCCCCAGGCTGGTCTTGAACTCCCAGGTTTGAAGTGATCCCCCAACTCAGCCTCCCAAAGTGCTGGGATTACAGGTGTGAAACACTGTGCCCAGCCTTTATTCTTTGTATCAAAGTGGTTTTTGACCCTCTTAGAATCTTTATGTTTTCTAGCCGGGCGCGGTGGTCAAGCCTGTAATCCCAGCACTTTGGGAGGCTGAGACGGGCGGATCACGAGGTCAGGAGATCGAGACCAATCCCTGGCTAACACGGTGAAACCCCGTCTCCTACTAAAAAATACGAAAAACTAGCCTGGCGAGGTGGCGGCGCCTGTAGTCCCAGCTACTCGGGAGGCTGAGGCAGGAGAATGGCGTAAACCCGGAGGCGGAGCTTGCAGTGAGCTGAGATCCGGCCACTGCACTCCAACCTGGGCGACAGAGCCAGACTCCGCTCTCAAAAAAAAAAAAAAAAAGAATCTTTATGTTTTCTTTGTTTTGTTTTGCTTTGCTTTTTGTTTTTGTTTTTGTGAGACAGAGTCTCACTCTGTTGCCCAGGCTGGAGTGAGTGGCACGATCTCGGCTCACTGCAACCTGCACCTGCTGGGTTCAAGCAATTCTCCTGCCTCAGCCTCATGACTAGCTGGGATTACAGGTACTTGCCACCAAGCCTGGCTAATCTTTGTATTTTCAGTAGCGAGGGGGTTTCACCATGTTGGGCAGGCAGGTCTCAAACTCCTGACCTCAGATGATCTGCCCACCTTGGCCTCCCAAAGTGCTGGGATTACAGGCGTGAGCCACCACCCCCAGCCCTAGCATCCTTATACTTTTTCCTTTTTTTGAGACAGAATCTCACTCTGTCACCAAGACTGGAGGCTGGAGTGCAGTGGTGTGATCTTGGCTCACTGCAACCTTCGCCTCACAGGTTCAGGCAATCCTCGTGCCTCAGCCTCCCGAGCAGCTGGGACTACAGATGCGTGCCACCACACCTGGTTAATTTTTGCATTTTTAGTAGAGACAGAGTTTTGCCATGTTGGCCAGGCTGGTCTCGAACCCTTGACTTCAAGTGATCTATCCACCTCGGCCTCCCAAAGGAGAGAGTGATTACAGGTGTGAACCCACTGCCCTCAACCCTAGAATCTTTATATTTTCATATAAATTTTTAGAATCAGCTGTCTTTTTCTACACAAGTGGCTGCTGGGGTTTTGATTGGGATTGTGTAGATTCTATAGATTAATTTGAAGAGAATTGGTATCTTAACAATATTGATCCTTCTGGTACATTAATGTAGCATATTTCCACTGAGTTGGGTCTTTGTTAATTCATCTCAGCAGTGTTTTGTAGTTTTCATTGTATAGCTCTTATACATCTTTAGTCAGATTGGTTCCTGATTATTTGGTTTTTGATGCTATTATAAATGTTATGTTTTATTAAGCTGAAGACAGTGACTCAAACCTGTAATTTCAGCACTTTAGGAGACTGAGGTGTTTGGATCGCTTGAGACCAGCCTGGGCAACATGATGAAACCCAGTCTTTGCAAAAAATAGGCGCCAGGCGTGTTGGCTCACGCCTGTAATTCCAGCACTTTGGGAGCGAACCCGGCGAGGCGGAGCCTGCAGTTAAGCGAGATCACACCACTGCACTTCCAGCATGGCCGATAGAGCTAGACTCTGTCTCAAAACAAACAAACAAACAAAACAAAACAAAAAACCACCACCACCACCACAAAATAATCATTTATTTATTTGGAGACAGGGTCTCACTCTGTTGGCTCAGGCATGAGTGCCATGGTGTGATCATGGCTCACTGAAGTCTCAAGCTCCTGGGCCTCAAGCGATTCTCCCACCTCAGCCTCCGAGTAGCTGGACCACAGCGCATGCACGACGCTTGCTATTTTTTTTTTTTGCAGGGGAGGGGATAAGGCTGACTCTGTCGTCCAGGCTGGGTGCAGTGGTAGGGTTCTTGGCTCACTGCACCTCCGCCACGCAGTTCAAGCGATTCTCATGCCTCAGCCTCTCAAGTAAGCTGGGACTACAGGG